GGCCTTACACAGACACTCAAAGCATCCCCTCCTCGCTTCCCTGGGTGGAACAGGTCATCCATCACCGGGCTATGTGCTGGGAGAGGGCCCCAGAGGGCTCCTGGAGGGAAGAGAAAGTAAGAGTAGCAAATTATGCTTTTACTTCAGACCTGTGCATATGTACACCTTGCAAAACCCTAGAAGTTCCCTACACACTGATTTTTAGGCACTATTTTCTGTGTGATCTTATGTGAATGGGCATGCACATCATGGTTTACAAGGGACTGATTTTACAATTCAAATTCAGTAATGTACAAAATAAGGAAGTTAAAGTCAAATATGAAAAAATCCCACAAAGATTGGAGAAAAATAAAGATACTAAGTTCAGAAAACTAAGTTTAAATGAAACCTAGGAAGAAATTTCAGACTCTTTCTGTATGTACTAAAATAATCAGGTTATCCACAAGATTAATTAGATTTATGATGCATAATTAAATTAAAAATTGTGAAGTTTTCCTGACTTGTCCTTCTAAAAAAGTGTTAATTTTTTAAGTCATTCAACTATACCCTTAGTGGGAAAGGAAAGGATTTATCTCAATAGATAATTAAGATAATTATTTTAATTGCAGAAGAAATAAAAATAGATTCAATTATCCTATTGAGAGAAAAAAGGGTTATTAAGGACTCCTTTAGCTAGCTCAAGAATGTGTCACAGTGAGTTGCATGTCTTATAGGTAAAACACCAGGAGAACCTCAGGTGTGTCACTTAATGGTAAGCAAAAAGAAGTCAAAATAAAGCTACAATGTGGTGACTGGTGTTTTAAGACAAATCCAAACTAGAAAGAGCTAGAGAGATGCTCTCCAGAACATCTACCACTCCCGATCAATTGTTTAACTGCTGTTCCTTCTCAACAACCTGTTTTCCAAGGGTCTTCAAAAGAAATGAGTAACACAAAAGCAAAGCAATGCATTTTCTCTAGTAATGACTACAGAAAGGACTTTGATTTCTGCCTTACATTGATTGTTCCAACATTTTTCAAATTTCCCTCTTTACACTCTGCCTTTCACTTCAGACATTCTGCTTGCAAGAACTATGTGGACCAGAAACAATGCAGAATGTAATGAGGCCTGTACTTTTTATTTTGTTTGATTTGGCTTCTTTTGGGGGACAAAAATGGCATGATTCATACCTGAAGGCATTATTCTGGGAAAAATTACATATGCCGACTTTAATAAAATAAAAATCCCAACTATTTCTAGGTTTGAATAGTAGTGATAATAACAGCAATAGCAATGATAATTGTCATTACTCCTTAGAAGAGTTCTAGGGACTAATTAGCATTTATAAATTATGCTTTTCAATAACAGAAATCCTGGGCAGCAAATGTTATTTCCATTGAACCCATGTGGAAATAATGACAGGGAAGGATACAATAACTACTCAAGAGCCAAAGCTAGTGAGGCTTTGAACTTACCTTTATGATCCTTCAAATTCGTGCTTTATAATGACCCTGTGCTATTGTTAGTTTACAGATTAAAAGAGTCAGAAGTGGGCTATGATAGGTGGCATTATTAAACATGGTTCTTAAACACCCCTGTATCCACACCTTTACTATGTCACTTCGCAGTGCCTTCCACTAGAGTAATAGTATGTTTTCCCACCCACTTTGATCTTGGGTTTGGCCATGTGACTTGCCTTAGGCAACTGAAAAAAGCAGAGGTCACAGTCTACTAGAAGCTTTCAGCCCAGGCTTTCATTAGTCCTCATGCATCTTTCTGTCACCTTGCATCCTGTCACAGCTGTGAGACAAGCATGCCCTGGCCAATCTGCTGGTCCTAGAAAAAGAGTGAGGGACAACTGGGACAGAACTGCCCTTGTAACTTATTAATAAACCTTAGGTGATCTAAATATCAGTGCAATAAAAAAATGATCACTCCTGTCTAAATTTGGGAGTATTGTGCTACAACAAATATATCCTCTCTCAGGTCTGTTTTAGAGTGTGTGCAAATGTGCGGGTGTGTGGGCACACATTCAACATATACACATATTGACCTGAGCAGAAAGATTGGTAGGTGCTTCCTACCAAAAGATAACCATTTAACAAAGTAGGAATATGTTCTTCATTATCAAAAGCAAAAGGATTTTAGTATTTAATTTGTTCTTTAGAAAGCTGTAACTATGCCATTTCCTTTTTGATTCTCCCATGAAAAGCCAACAGGATGTTTTAAAACAACTTAGCTGTTGAGCTCTGGCTCTGTCTTTGATGAATTTTATGTGATAATTGACACTTAAAGGGACCCTCTGTGCACCACTGACACATCTCACTGACAGGGAGGTATCTTGACCCCTGTAGGCAGTGGGAGTTTAGAGCTCTTCCACCTCATCCCATCCTGGCTGTGCTCAGCTGCAGGATTAGATGAGGTGGTTTTGATTTTGAACAAGTTCAGCAGTGATAAGTCACTGTGAATTGGAAAGAAAATTTGAAATATCAAAGTCAACCATCAAGTGGTATTATGTCTTTTTATGATAAAAGATACCAGACGAAAGCTAAATACAAAAGCAAAGAAAATGTGCACATTCACACATTTACCATATATGTGCACACACAAACATGTCACAAGACATGTAAGGCTGCTCTCAGTTTGTGATTAAGTAAAAGAGCTCTTTATAATTTTGACTTTTGGTATATTGACATGAATATTTGATACAGTCATAGATACCTTTTTAGACTATAAAGAATTTAAGGTGAAGTAGGGAACCATCTTAATTTTGATAGAAATCAGATCCAAACCATTTTACCTTAAAAAAAGAAAAAAAATTTGTCTCAATTTTCTACTTAACATGCCTCATAATAATCCTACTGAGGAAATTGGATTTGGGCCAATTGTTACATTAGATAGGAGCCAATGTATTCAAAATTTGTATAGTTTTATGGTCAACTGATTGTTTTAAAATAATGTTTGGAAAAATCATAATGCATGAATAAGTCATATATGTTATAATAGTGGGAATCAGTAAAACATACCTTAATTTTCTAAACATGGTTTACTTTATTTGAGCTCAATTTTTAGCAAGATTTATGTAATTTCAAACAAATTGAAGCATTGCATTTGTAACTGACAGGGTCCTCCTCCTCAGTTGTTTAATGGTGGTATACAGGACATATTTTCTTTGCAAGAGTCCAGAAGTAGTCAGCCAGTGACACAAAATCCTACCATCCCATCAAAGTAAAGAGCAACATCATTTACCATTTTAGCCTTGCTAAACTTTCAGCTCTCATGGATACAGTCCAGTGTTCATCTTTTGTTTTGAAGTTCTGGCTCTTCTGTGTTAATATTTTTCTATTATATTTATATGAATAAGATAAACACAAGCAATCATTAGAAAACACTGATTTATTTCACCATTATAGTGAATATTTACTTTCTCTATGTTCACCTATTCAGTGCCATCATAAAATCAGTAATACTTACTCTACGTAGGTGTCTAGTAGGCATCCTAAAACTATCTCAAAAAAGGTCATGATTTCCCCCCTTCTGCCAAACGTGTTTTGCCTCAGTCTTCCTTACCACCATGAATGGTCTCCCTACTCACCTATTTACTTGGGCCCGAGCCTTAGGATCATCCTTGATTTCTCCTCACCCTTCATCTCTAACCCAAGTGCCACCCCTTCTAGCTCTAATTAAAATATATTTTCTCCCAGTGCTACCACCAAGTTCAGGACACCATCATCCTTCATCTAAGCTGGTATGATAGCTTCCTGGTGGATTTCCCTGATTTAACTCTTTTCTCCCAGTACTGGATTCTCAACACAACCTCCCTAGTGAGTTTTCAAACATAAATCAAATAATAATGATTCTTTGTTCAACACTCTATAGTGCTGTGCGAGCACCCTGTGAAAAATTCTAAGTTTCTCATTTCAGCCCACAATGACCTTTATGACTCAGTCCCTGATAATCTCTGGATGTTTTCTCCTTCTGTTCCATGCAGTGCTCACTCTCCCCATGCTGGCCTTCCTGTTATTCCCCTAACAGCCCATGTCTGTTCCTTCCCAGAGTCTTTGTACTTGCTTTCCTCTCCGCTGCAATACCATCCCCAGATCTCTGCTGGCTGTTCGTTCACTTCCAAGTTCTTTCTCAAATGTCACCTCCTCAAAGAGATGTGCTCGAGCTGCCTTATCTAACACAGCCCTCTATTCTCTGTAGGCTTTTACCCTCGGCTTTTGTACAGTGCAGATTCTCATCCTATTGCAAGCTGGGCATATCTCTCAAAAAGGGGAGTTCTGGATGCAATTGTGAACACTCAATTATTATTATCTTTTAATAGGAACAACAGAGCTACTGCCATATCAAGCACTCAGCTCAGGACTCTGTGTTTTCCTGTTAAAATTTATTATTCTTTTCCTGCCTTTCTGGCTTTCCTTGCCTATAAAAACCTTGCTTGTGTATCAATGCAACTTCCATATTGCATGGATGACTCTCCTATTTACCAGTGATGTGTGATCTCATTTGTATTATGGAAACATTTGCTGTAGCAAAATGTACTGTGCAGTTTGTAATGCCTAGAAAATGTTGTACACAAACTGGAATGATACATGCAAATTGGTTATGCAAGAAGGAATACTTTGATCTTTATACGATTATTTTTATATAATCTTTGCACATATTTATATGCTTCTTGTGTTAGAAAAAGACAGATAACCGAAAGTTAATGAGAGCCCCAAAATGAAAGAATGAAAACTTTTACAGCAGCCAGGAGTAAATATCCAAATGTAAACATATCATATATTCATATATATATGTACATAATGTGTGTACATGTGTATGTGGACAGATTGCTAGATGACAGACAGCAGTCACACTTAGCATGGCTTCATCCAGTGTTGCAGTGAAAAATACATAACCCGCGATTATACTCTCTATGCCTTCAAAAAGTAGACAGAAGAAAACGCACATAATTTGTTTTTGACATCCTTTATTAGAATTAATAAAATATTTGATGAGAGAGAGACAAGGGAAAAAGAAAGAAGAAAACGAGTAGCACTCTTATTCCTTCACCTGAAGAAGATTGTGGGAATAATTACCAGCTTCCTCTCACGTTTCATTTGTTAGTTGCTTTTTCTTGTTCCTGCTCCAGCATGAATTTTAGGGTGGGTCTCTTTGAGTCCCTTTTGGCAATTTCTGGTGACACTTCTGAATGGGAGGTTTGCTTTCTGAGAAGTGAAGCTCTGCCAATCACAAGCTGTTTCCATCACTGCCATTTATTTTGTGGTTTCCTCTTCCACTTATGTCTTAGATGTCTTTCATCAGAATAGGAGAAAGGGAAAGATTTTTACCCTTTGGCTACAAGACTTAATACTGGTTTATGGAAATTAAGACAGGTTATATTATCATCTATGTGTCTTGATTGATTGTTTCATGAACAATAAACAACATTTACAATCATTACATTAAAAATCAAGTAACTTTTAAACAAGTGTATCATTTTCTACTGAAATTTATGTTAAACATAAATACAAGTCTCTTAGCAATCTCATAGGAAAATTCCTTTTGTGAAAGAGTATAAGTAGTTGCGAAACACCCTCAAGCCCTTTACAGGTTGGATGGTCAGACAAACAGATATCTTCATAGTCAAATTTTGTGAATAAGACAAAAATCTCTAAAGGAAAGATGACTTGATCCATCTTTTATTTTCTGAGCAATTTATGATGATGATATTAAGTTACAATAATCCTCTTTTGTGGGCTAACATTATTGTTACATAACAAACTATACCATAATATACCAGCTTGAAAAAGATATTCATTGTATCTCATGATCCCCTGGCTTGGGAGATTTTATCACTCAGTGTCTTCATAGCTATCTGGTCAGTGCAAGCCAGTTCACATGTGGCAGAAGGGACCTTTCCAAAAAGAGGGTGATTGCTACTGCATAAACTGCCTGAGTCTTTTGTTGTGTCAGTTTTGACCCAGCCAATCACATGTCTAAAACAAGATTCAAGGAAGTAACTTGTCCTTTTCTCAGGGCAGCAACTGCAAAGAATTTGCATACTTTTCAGGAATCTACCATACACATAATAATGAGGGACTGGCTTTTCTTCTTTTTTACTATAAAGATTGCAAACTAACACAAGTTCCTAATTGCTGCCCATGGGGATCTAACCACATTTTATGGCCATCTTCCAGTCTTTATCAATCCTTGTATGGATTATCTTTGGGAAGACTAGCAAATCCCGCATGGTGCTCCACATTCTAAGAATGCTGGTGACAGCTTATTCAGCCCGTGAGGGCTGCCTGATGTTGCACAGTCTGTGTATGCCAATCCAGGGATGCCACTTACACCATATTCTTAGCAATTTTGTGTATTTATCGCAATAATTGCTTGGTAAACAGTTACTAAGCTTCTTGGGGGAGGACTATTTTCCTAATTCTTGTGAAAGTGACTTACTTCTTGCAATTTATCTGATGAGCCCTTCTTAACCCTTCTTTTCCAAAAGAAAGAATTCTTAGAACAAATGGGAAATAATTCCTTACCTTATATAGATTACCTATAGCTCCTTATTTCTTATACTTTGAAGAGAATATTTTCCTGATGGCTAAAAGATGAAGTCATCCTAGTCTTAATTCATGTAGATTATGTGTTCATATTTACAACCTCAGTTTTCATAATATTAAGGTTTTTCATGCTTATTAAAGTTTTTCATGCTGTTTGTTTTTTACAAATCTGGAATTTTTAGTACATGTTTTTTCCAGTACATGTTTCTGTATTAATTTCCATAGTGTTTGTACTAGTTTACATTCCCCCCAACAACATAAAAATTTCCTTTCTTCTCACCAGAATTTGTTATTTGATTTCTTGATGATAGTCATTTTTCTGGGGTATGATGGAATCTCAGTGTTGTTTTATCATTTAGTGAAGAACTTCAAATAAAATGGAGCCCAGGGAGAAACCATTTCATAGTTTCTCTTATATGTGTATGCAGTATTATATAAAAGAGTAAAAAGTAGGGAATAAGAAATAGGGAGATCTTTTTCAAATAAGAAGGGGATCAAGAGATTGAGGGAGGGATGGGGAAGAAAATGGAAAGAAGATGAAAAAAAGGGATTAAGATGTTTGTACATGCACTAACTCCTTACAAGGAATGTAAACATCAGGTAATGCAAATGTCCACTAACAAAAGAATAAACAATAGAAAAAATGTTCTCTTCCATCACTCAGGGAGTGTCTGTTAATCCCTTTGACTATTGACAAAGAGATTAACAATCTTCTGTGTTGGTTTACTTCTAAGATTTTCTTCCTATGACATTGACAAGAAATAATTTTTAAATATCTATGTGCAGCTCTGACTTACAAAGCTCTATCATATCACAGAATTAAATGTGCTATTAAAGTCATTTATAAAGTGAAATGAGTCAAAAGATGAGAAAAGTATGTACATATATGAATGCACGCACATATGTATGTAAATTCCTAGCAATGAAGTTATTGCAAAAATAAAATGAATCAAGAGGGCATAGATATTATATACTTAAAAAATTCAAAGTATTACAAAAACTAACATTGAGTCTCCATATTGACTTTCAGAGAGCTTAAATGATTCTAAAATTTTGATTTGAGGAAAGGTGTATAAGAAATAAAGAACGTCAGAAAATTTTTAAGCTTCATCTCATCCTCAGGTGGGTTTTTTTGTAAATTTAAAATACAATTATTTATTTGCACTGAGAAGTGGCTCACTTACTTTAAATTATTAAAGTTCTCAGGTAGACAAACAGGCTTTTGTATCTGTACACACATACACATGAAGGTGTTTTATTTTGCATTTGCAGCACAGAAAGCTAGGTTTGTGTTGCCCATAGATTTCTGTTTTTTATCCCTGCACATTTAAATCCTCCCACAAAAGTTGAAAGAGTTGTTTCCTAAATAAGGGTCAAAGTAGGCTTCCTATACTAAGGAAGAATTGTGATGAATAGAAACTTCATTCACTGGGTCCTAACTGAGCTTGAAGGACTGACCTCACTCTTCTGGAAGGACAAAGGGTTTAAGTTAGATGATCTCAAAGATCTTCCCTGTTCTACTCCTCTCTGACATTACATTTTTATTTCTTACTTATGTCTAGACTCTCACCAGGAACATAAAAGAAAGGAACAAACTCACAAAGAGAGACAGAAATAGAAAAAAAAAAAAAAATAGTGTATCACCCAGCCCTGGAACAATAATACTGCATAAAAAGACTATCCAAAAACTCAGTAACTTATAATTACAAGTCCTGTGCTGTTTCTGTTTTTGTTTAATTTAGGTCTGCTAGAGTAGCTCTGCCTTAGGGTGTAGGTCAGCCAGTCTTCCTGAAGGAAGAGTTCAGGTCTGCTCTGTGAATGTTAATACAGGGTTTGCTGAGATCCAGTAGCAGAAGCCTCCTAGGACAGCCTCTTTTTCTGTCAGATTACGCAAGCACAAAGCCCGTCCAAACACGGAAGCGCACATCAAACTTCTTTTCATGTTTTATCTGTTGACTTTCTATTGGCCAAAGAAAGTTTGTGATCAAACTCTGAATTAATGGGGCTTGAAAATGGAACTATTTGAGTGAAACGTTCTAGGTAGGGGTGAAGCAATCAGCAGAGGTGATATCCTTACAAAGAAGGCGGGAGACTAAGCTTCAGAAGCAAATAAATATTCAATTTCCTTTTCCATTTTCTTTTTCTTTTTTCTTTCTCCCTCCCTCCCTTCCTTCCTTCCTTTCTTCCTTTCTTTCTTTCTTTCTTTTTTTTTGAGTCAGGGTCTCAGTATATACTTTGGGTTGGCCTTGAACTCACACTGTAGCCCAGGCTAGTCTTGAACTCTCAGCAATTCTCCTGCCTCATCTCCCTAGTGCCAGTATTACAGGCATGCACCACCACACCCAGCTCAAATTCGACATAAGATTACATATTTCTCTCTCTCCTTGAGAAATATGTAATCTTATGTTAAACTTTATCTTTTAATGTTGGAAAGAAGTTCACTTTCAAAAATGCTTGGACAAAACAAATCTGCAGACTAGATACATTTTGGTGATTTTCACTTGTCACAAATGCCTCTTGATTACTAACATGTGACTTGTAATTATACCTGTAAGAAAGTTTTAAAATCTTTCATTTTTCTCCCATAAAGCCACAGATTTGTGCTACCCCAGGTGGGGTTAACGTTTGGTCAGTATAATGGATCGTGGGTGTACTGTACTCATCAACGGATTCATCCGGGGATTAATTCAGGGTAAATGGTGTGGTTGGAGGTGGGCGGTACCTTGTCGGAAGAGGCGTCACTGAGGGCGAGGCCTAGCAGTGTGTGGGTACCCCCCAGCCCCGGCGGGCTCTGCCCTTTTCTCTCTGCTTCCTACCCACCCTGACCTATCTGTTTGCCTCTGCCTAGGAGCTGTCAGGCAATGGGCTGTAATTGTGAGATAAAATAAACCTCTCTTATAAGCTGGGAGGGTCAGGTATTGTGTCCCAGCTCTGAGAAAGCAACTGAGACATTCAGATTCTTTGGCCTATTCCTGTTTAGATCTTTCCTAAAATGAAAGACTGCATCACACTAGTGGTGATACATTGTACCACTTAAGAAGCACAATATTTATACAGTACCTTTAAGGACAATTGTCCCTTGGTTGGTTCCAGGCCCCCAAACACACACCAAACCCCGCAATGCTCAAATCCCTTACATAAAATGGTGAGATATTTGCCTATAACCTATGCACAACTTTCTGTATATTTTAAATCATCTCTAGATTATTTGTAGAACCTTATGCAATGTAAATGATGTATTGATTATGGAGTAATCCCAAAGCAAAGGTTGGAAAATAAGGAAAGGATAAAGTGAAGGTACAGTTTCCATTTAATTTCCTTTCCCAGTGTTTTCCTGCTGTTTTGTTTTTAATATCACCCTTGGAGCAATAAGTCAAATGTCCTCCCTCAAAGGCAGGGACCAGTGATATACACTTTGCACATAGTAAAATCTGTATGATTTCATGGCTGCTGAAAAGAAAAATATTTTCCTTCTTTCTCTCTTCCTGTGTTTCTTTAATGTAATAAAATAGCTTCCCTCGGAGGTCAAAGACTTTGCTATTTTTTTTTCCTGTTCTCTAAGATTGTTGCCACTGCCTGTTTTGAAACTTGCTTTTTGTTTGGGAGAGTTTTAATGGATGGTTATTAGTTAGTGCCTAAAGGACATAAATTTTCTATATGTAAAAGCAGGGAAGTTATAGGAAAGTAGCTATAAAGATTCTAAGCAATTCAAGAGAATGATGCTAATTGCTGTTCCAAAATTTTCC